CAACAATATTGTTTATTCAGAGCTTTTGCTCAATTAATATATGCGTTATTCCCAACTCACTTATGCTCAATTATACTTATGTTCAACTATACTTATGCCATTTTCTTTTTTTTTTTTTTTGTAACTATGTGAATCTCATTCAATAAAATTATGCGACCATTACTTTCTCTTTAAATGCATTAACCTTTCTATATCTCATTCAGCATTTGCCCTTACTCATCACAAAGGGCGAAGCCCATAAGCCTGCGGCAGCACGACGACGTGCAAAAACGAGCGTAGCGAGTCGGAAGCGGCTAGTATTTTTATACTGAAATTGCTCGGACAAGCTCACCAAGGTGGAACGTATAATGTGATGAGGGTGGGAAGGTACTGATGGTGGAGGGGGAAAGCATACTATCTAATGGAGGGTGGGTAGAGGGAGATAAACTAATCATTATAATTGGTAGGCTAAGACTTGGTGGTGTTAGGGTTCATGCTTATTTCAACCTGGGCAGGTGCCGCAATTATTCATAATTTGTTTACTTCCAACGACCAACAGCCGAGAATCATAGAAAGCGGCATGAAAACCCTCAAGAGCAAGCTACTGGGTGGGGGGTTTCGTGGGATTCGAACACAGGATTTTAGCTCCAAATCAAAGGTTTTTGACCACTGAGTTAGAGGCATAGGCCCCACTGATGACAGAGATTAACATTCGCCTTGATCATATCTTTGATCACGTGATGTTTTGAACACTCCTTTAGGGAATAGTGACTTCTGACTATTATGAAGAGACAGAGAATGGTTTGGCAATGTTGGTGGTTTTGAGCGCGCTAGGAATGAGTACGAATTGAGTGAAAGGCAGCTGTTTGAAGATTGAGAAAAAATGTCGCTTCACCGCACATCGATTCAGGCTTCGACTTCACCGTCATCAAAATTTAGAGTACCTGAATCTACTCTTGAAGTCTATGCTAGGCTTAAGCGTAGCTGCGATATGCACAAATGTCGCAACTTGTCTGTACATGGACGCGCGACCGTGTTGAATACACTTCTCCTCTCCAAAATATGGCACGTGTTACGCGTTACTTGGATTCCTAAGGAAACTTTGGATAAAATTACCTCCATCGGCCGCCAATTTGTTCAACATCATCAATTTCCTTATATTAGCTGCAATGTGTTGCTGCAACCTACACAACGCGGTGACCTTGGTCTTCTCGATCCTGCAATTCAACAAAGCCTTCTCGCATATCGGTGACTCACGCCATTTCTGTTGTCTGAAGCTCCTTCAGCTATTGTGGCTACATGGATGTCTGCACATATATTAAGCACAGCTTCTTTTACTCTACCAGACGGTCGTTTGCCTTTCTTCTTCCCTTCCTTACGGCAGGGTCTATTGAATCCTTCTCGTCCCAGCCTTTGTTCGCTATGGTTCCGCGCTTTTGACATTCTCCCTGGTTTACAGAAGCTTAAGCTTTCCTTGGGGACGGATATGTCACGACCAACTCCAATCTCAGCGTCTGTCTCTATGGTATTACCTCTCTCTGAGGTTATTTACTGGCCTTCTGAGGGTCCTTTATTGCTCAAGCGCTCCTCCTACTCAAATGTTCAGGTGCAGGATGCTTTCATTTTCGATCCTCAACTGCAATTTATACGACGCAGACTAGCAGCAGAAGAGAAACGCGTTGTTAAACGCGGACGTAACCGTGTTGTTCGATTGTATCAATTGTTAGGCTCGAACTCTGCGCGCGTATCACTTTTCCTCTCTCGTCTAATGTTGCCTTCTCACATTGGCTTACATGATGGTACTTTGGGTCAAACCACCATCGATGATACAATTCTGCCGTTGGTTACCCCATTAGTCAATCATCAGACCCAGCTAATCCAGCCTTCTCACATGCGAAAGCTTATTCGTAAAGCATCCCTTTCACAGGCTAAAGAGTCTTCAGTCACACTAGGTAATTCAGTCAGGTTTTGGAAATCTTTTTGGCGCATGGATGTCCCTTTGCCGGCTCGAAACGTTTGGTTTCGTTTGATTCATGGTAAGCTACCTGCCGCTTCCAATCTACACAAGATCATTCCCTCTTTCTCTCCTTTCTGCCGTCTGTGTAATCGAAGTTCGCCTTCAGAAACCAGTTGTCATTTCTTAATTGACTGTAGAAAAAAGTACCTCGCTTGGAAGCTCATTTGGGCCCACTTCTTCCCTTTGTCCCCGTGGTCACGCCATGTACTACTGCAGGCAATCTTACATCTTAATTTCCCTCAACAGAATTCAGTGCAATCTCTTGATTCCTCTAGCATCTTTGGATGCAGTTTGTTGATGATATGGAAAGCACACTGGCGTTTTATTTTTGATTCTACGCCCTTCGTACCTACCCTGATGCTTCAAGAAACTATTCGGGTGGTGCAGTCGTTAGCCCCTCCAAGGACTGACAACCTCACTTCTCCATAGTTAGTATAGTATATTGATCTTATTTTCTTGTACTTCGATTTTCCTAGTTCACCGCTGCCTTTGGTACGTGACTTATAAATAAATAGTACTTGGCTTTTGCCCCTACAAAAAAAAAATCTCTTTCTGAAATTTATTTTTAATAAAACAGTAAAAGATCACTATACAATCCCTTTGAGGCACTCAATGCATCAACAATCATTATTGAAAACAAAAGGTTGTTTTTTTTTTGTTTTTTGTTTTTTGTTTTTTTTCACTGATAGTCCAGCTATGGGCAAAAGCTCCTTTTCTGTATTCACTATTGACATAAGATTTGTATGATATTCCCTTGTCAGTAAATTATGATCCACAAGGGCAGTCTCTGAACACGTTGTAATAGCCTTATGAAGTTTGATCTAATTTACCTTTCTCTCATGCAAGAAAGAGAAATTTGATTGGCCGAATTTAAAATAACCTGTTGGCAACCAAAAGTTTAGCATCTTGCTCTTCTGCTGTGTCAAAATGAATGGGGGATATAGTGCAAAGAACTTGGGTATAGATTAGAGTACATACATATATGACCACAGTTGCCGTTACTCATTTATACAAAAGGTGTCAAAAGAATTATGCAAGAAGCAAAAGAAATTGCTACAGAAAATGCATATGAATATAGTGCTCATCCATTAGAAGTAAGAGCTAATGTAATTTCCATCTCAAGCACTCACACATAGCATACTTTATATTAAAGGATAATTTATTCGAGTGGCATTTTACCATTAGAGGTCCTGATGGCACAGATTTTGAGGGTGGAAGGTATTGAATATTAAACATGAGGCATAGAGAAAGAGATTGGTTAACTGATATCTAGATATCATGGCCGCATCCTGCTACCTTCTGAATATCCATTTAAACCACCTGAAATCATGTTTTTGACTGTGAGTAGATATAGTCGCCTATTGTATTCTGATGATTTATTGCTATTATTAGCCAAATGGAAGATTTGAGCTTTATAAAAAGATCTGTTTGAGCATAACGGGTTTTCATCCTGAATTCTGGCAGCCAGCATGGGGAAGTAAGTTAGTTGATGATATGAATTGATTAATTTATAAATCGTGCATAGTTCGAACCATTTTACTTGCTGTCATTGCATTCTTTCCAACTGAAGCCAAAGGGGCTATTGGAGGCTTAGATTATACACAAGCAGAACGTAGACAGTTAGCAAGACGGTAAATATGCAATACCTTTAAAAGAAAAGAAAAAGAATGACCTGTATATGCCTTAGATCAAGAGAGTGGATCTGCCCAGACTGCCAGACACATATGAACAATGCTTTGAGTGACACCAAAAAAGAGTCAAAGGCTGAAAGAGAAGGTATACCCAATATAGCAATAAACTATAAAGTAGAGAATGAGCCGAGTAGCTTGGCAACTAGCAGTTCATCAAAAACTCGACAGTCTTTATTAACTACATCCAACCAAGATGGCTCTGGATGGATTGGTGCATTGATAGGCATTATATTACCATTTCTAGCCATGTTTATATACAGGTTATTTCTTTAGGAATAAAGAAAGTACAAAATAACCATTTCGTCACTTGTCGAAATAACCAAAGATTATTTAAAGATCTGTCTTTATATCAATAATTTTATTAAACAATGGGGCACAGTGTTTTATCCATCCTTCACAGTCTTGCTTCAGAACTTCATGACTGGCGGCCTTTATCCTCTCACATAGATCCTCCTGGTCATCAAAAGGATGCTTCTTCACAAAGCTTTTGGTTTTGGGAAAACATTCATCAACAGAGGTCAAAAAAGAAGAGCAAGTTTGCGGTTTGTTTCTTTTTCAATCCACTGACGCAACTCTGCATCGTGTTGAATTCTTGCATTGCCCATAACAAGATAATAAGCATCACTCGTATGCTTACCCGAATTCATTACAAGTTGTTGAACAAATTCTTTGAAAATGGAACCTGCAGAATGATAGTAGAGAGCAATGTGTCTGTGTAAGTTCGAAAAAAAGCTCGCTTACCTGTAGCTCCATCTGCTATTACTTTGGTACATACACACACTTGAGACACATTGTCAAAAAGAATTGCAGTTACACCACTTTATCTGAGATGTAATTATTCATTTATAAAAAACGTGTAAATTGTATGATCACTTTCTCTCTTCTTTCTCCTCTCTTCCTTCTTGTTTTACTATAAGATGGCTATAGCTACTATGAATGGCGGAGTCGGTGTTGCTCACCTTCCTAATCAACGCCACAAGATTGTATCTAAGCGTGGGGCTAACTTTACCTTGATGGTTTGTGGTACGAGTGATGATAAAAAAAGATATTACAAAAAAGATTGATGATATTCATTAGGTGAATCTGGTGTTGGAAAGACGACCTTTGTGAATACTTTATTTACTACTGGAATTAAAAACCCAAAGAATATGAATAAGAGACATGCAAAGCAAACCGAAAAGACAGTAGAAATTGAAATTACTAAAGCAGGTTAAGGAAGGAACTATATCGAAAAAGGATAAGGACGCTCACTTGGCTTATATTTATATAGAGCTTGAAGAAAAGAACTTTAAAGTCAATTTGACCATTATTGATACTCCAGGTTTTGGTGATTATGTTAACAATCATAATAGTTGGATGCCTATCTATGAGTTCCTTGATGATCAGCATGAGAGTTATATGGCTCAGGAACAACAACCAGTTCGTAAGGGTGTCATTGATCTCAGAGTACATGCATGTCTTTACTTTATTCGTCCAAATGGTCACAGGTAATAATAATAATAATAATAAAAAGGTGATTAACAAGAGGCTAATTATGTTGATAGTCTCAAGCCATTGGATATAGAAGTCATGAAGCACCTTGGTTCAAGGGTGAATTTGATTCCCGTGATTGCGAAGGCAGATACCCTTACTCCTAATGATTTAGCCAAGTTTAAAGCAAATGTAAGTAAGCAAAAGATGCCTCCAAAGACGCACGAACTTAATATTACATGTAGATCTTGAGCGCTATTGCTGCTAATAATATACAGATATACAATTGTCCCATTGATAGTGAAGATGAAGAAATAACAGCAACCAACAAAAGTATTATGGCATCCATGCCATTTGCTATCATTGGTTCTACTCAAGACGTCAAGACAACCGATGGGCGTGTTGTCAAAGGCAGAGAATACTCTTGGGGAGTTGCTGAAGTCGAGAATGAGGAACACTGTGATTTCAAAAAGCTAAGAAAGCTGCTTATCCGATCACACATGCATGATTTGATATCAACAACAGAAGAACATCATTACGAAAACTACCGTCAAACCCAGATGGCCACTCGTAAGTTTGGTGAGCCAAAACAAAAGAAATACGAAAACCCCAAGTTTAAGGAAGATGAAGAACAACTTCGATTGAACTTTACAAAGCAAGTTAAAGAAGAGGAAAATAGATTCCGCCAATGGGAAGCACAGGTACATACACGAAAGATTTAAATATAAATCATATTTACACATGTATATACGTAGCTTGTTGCTGAACGAGATCGCCTAAACAAGGATCTTGAAGAACAACACGCTCAGATTAAGCAATTGGAAGGGGAATTGGAGCATCTATATCAAATCCATGGACGCGGAACTATTCGAAGATAATAATAATATTAATAATAATGAAAATAAAATTGTGCTTTTAATACAATTGTGTAAAATAATGAGATTTAGATCATCCATCACGCATTTTTCTACATCCACTTGTTCAAGATTAGCTACCAAGAACATCAAGCCAACATCAAGAGTAGAGCTTGAGTATGTCTATGGCATTTCAAGTGTTTCTGCTGCTTTACATTCAAAAAAGAGAGCCATCCTTGACACAATCCATGTTCAGAGATCAAACGAAAGGAAAACTACCAAAAAGAAAGACGAATCAATGATTGAGAGCATCCTGGCAACCGTAAAGGACTTGAACATACGCATTCAATACACAGACAAGGGAAAATTAAACAACTTTACTCAAGATAAACCGCACCAAGTTTGTTTCCTCCCTTTTCTCGTTTCCTTCAGTTTATTCATCCACTCTTAGGGTATCGTTCTTCAAGCTTCACCAAGAGAGACAATAGAAATTGAACCATTGCCAAGAATAGAAGATAATAAGGCATATAGAGTATCCAAAAAAAGTAAGCAAGGGCAAGGGGTACCCATACACCTTTTGCCATCCAACACGCATCGATCTCCCTTTTGGCTAGCACTTGACGAAATACAAGATCCTCATGTAAGTATTGCATGTGCAATAGCATAGCTCAATTCCTTTATATATGTATACATAGAATCTTGGTTCTATATTAAGAACAGCCCACTTCTTTGGTGTTGATGGTGTATTGGTATGCAGCAAAAACAGTGCGCCACTTAGCCCGGCTGTTTCCAAAGTAAGTTCTGGAGCAATGGAGGTCATGGATGTCTTTTCGACTAGAAATCTTGTGAGCTTTCTAAAGGTAACTTTAATAATCAAGTTCGATATCAAACACTAGACTTTTTTCATTTTAAGGAATCGAGTCAAAACGGTTGGGATATTGTTGGAGCAGCAGTAGAAACTAACAACACACGGTCAGTCAGCAGTGCACCCTCAATCAATAACAAGCCGACCATCCTTGTCTTAGGAAATGAAGGTAGTGGTCTTCGCACGAATGTGAAAAACGTATGCCATCGCTTTGTGGCAATCCCACACTTTTTAGAAAATAGGTTTAGTGGATCTGTAGATAGTTTAAATGTTGGGGTGGCTGCTGGCATCTTGATCTACTCTTTTACAAAATAAAGTATTGCATTTTTTTATTATTATGAGACAATAAATATGTATATAAAAATGTAGTTTAATTCCTTTCTGTAGAACCAGTTGTTTTCAAAGGCACTCTCGCAGTAATCGCTTCATCGATGGTATCCAAACTTCTCACACTACGCCAATCCGCTATGGTAGACACAACCGATATTCTGTTCTTCCATTTATCAAAGTTTCTTTGCTTGTAGTGCATATCTTCTTCGTCATCCAAGATTTCGTCCATCAGCCACTCTTGAGTAGTATGTGCATAAGATGGCAACTCTGTGTTTCCAGGATCTATCATGCTCATTTCACGCTGCTCTTGGTATCTCACAAAGCCAATTTCGTTATAGTTAGTTGTATGTCTAACCAAGATAACAGCCGCAAGTTCTTTACAAAATTCCTGCAGCACAATATATGAATTAACAAAGTTGGCAAGTTTCGCAAATGGGTTAGTCATTGTCACTGGAGTCGCATTCGACCTCTGGCTGTTTTGGAAGAACGAAGACGAGGGAGAGCTAGGTGATCCCATTCCACCACCAAGACCCATGTCTTTGGTTATTCTTAATGGCAGAAGACCTGTTGACTTCGTGCCGGATGGTGATGAAGGGCTTCGGGGGGAAGAAGGCAGTAGTGTTGACGTTGAACCCTTGTTGAAGACGAGTTTTGTAAGGTTTCCTGGATGCTTTGAGCTCTGAGTTCCTTTCCTAGAAAGCGATGCATGGGTACTACCACCATTCAGTTTAGGGCTGTTTTCTCTTCGAAGTGAACCGGATGAGCGCTCAATGTGGGAAGAGACGCTTTGGGTATCAGTAGTTCCGGATACCATACCGCGCTTCTTTGCTAATGAAATACGAGTTTCAAAGTTGGGAACGAGTTGTGCTCGTTTCAGTGCTTCAAATGTGATCTGGAACAAAATGTTAATATAACACGTAAACATATCAAAAGCATTACCTGTTCCAGAAGAGCATACAAGGTGCGTCTGTTTACTTTAGAGCTGGGTAATGTCCAGACACCACCATACAACGCACCATCATTACCGACACGAATGGATCTCCAGTCACAAATCACTCCGTCCATACGTTTATCTACAACGCCTGCCAGCTTTTGTAAGATACTTGTCACCAGTAAATTTTGTTCTACTGGTAATTCCAGCATTTTGCAAAACTGATCAAAGATTCTACTAAGAAACAAGCCCTCATAGGTTTCTGACTTCTTCACTGTTGTCGTTGTATTCGTCACTGTACTCGATATGCTCATCTGATCTGCTGTAGTGTCATTGCTGCTGTTAACAGCCATCATGCTCTTGGGTCGATTCGGTCGACCCTTTCGATCTTCTGCTTCACGCTCAATATCTTTTTTACTCTTGACAGGTGGATAAGGTGATTGCCAAAAGTTTTTGGCAAGCAAAGCGTAATGGAATCGCTCTTGTGCCTCATGAAAATAGTCATCATAGCTATTTCCAGGAACGACAAGATATGGATTCTTGCCGTCTTCGTTTGCAGACGGAAGCGAATCAGATGCAATCACGCTTGATAGTAGCGGTGACTTCATTCTTTCCAATTCATCCTCTAACGGTAAAAGCGAAAGCACTCTAAAAAGGGACGGTCAAGACATTTCTCCTTTGTTATCATCAATTACCTTTCTACTAGCCATCGAACTTTTTCATTCTTACTTTCCTTCTGCGAGGTCTCTTTTTCTCCACTTGTGCTTTCTTCTGCTCTTGGCTGATCCTCTACTGTTGTAACACTGCCACGATCATCTACTACTTTAGATCCAAGCGATGAAGTATCTGTTGTGTCTTTTGTGTCATCAATGTATTCTCCTTCTGGAGATATATCAAGGTAGTTTCGAAGCACCAAATTATAGATGGCGAACTGGTTGTATGTTTCAAGTATAGTATCAAATAATCGTAAGGTTGCCAGCACAAGTTCTTGTTTCTCAGTATCCAGACGGTTGATCAGGAGTAGTCTCAATGTCATCTCTTCGTTACCGCTGATTGATGTTCGCTTTGCCTCAGGAGAGGACGGAGCGGTGTCATCAGTCGCTCTAAATTCATCATCCGTTGCCTGAGAGGCGTCATCGCGATCGTCGTCAATGAGATCATGGATGGGTATATTCGTCTTTAGCTCTGGCTCAATGTCTTTACCAACGCCACCTTCCTCACTTATGAGCACAACCAAGAAAACATGTAACAGTCGCTGATCCGTCAGGCAGCGGATCATTTCTGTTGTGTATGCGGTTGCTGCCGTTGCTATCTCTGCAGATGGGGAGCTTAATCCAGTACAGACAACGGGGTGCCAGAACATAGTTGTTAACTGTGCCATCAGAGCTGTCATCAATCTCTTTTCTGCTACTCTTGCCACATCATTTAGATACTCCCAAAAACTGTAAAAATCATCCACAATGCGATTCTTGTCTATCGTCGACTCTAGCATTTTTACAAAATTATAATCAAATGGACTTCGCTTTCTGCGTTTCTTCTTGAAGCTATTTTGTGCGTTGACTGTAATCATCAAGCTATTGTTAGTAATCATTGCGGGAACTGAGAATCGAATGCTTCGTCTGGGTGGCCGTGCTGGGATGACACGGTTGTTTTCTGAAATAGTGAATGCGCCTGCGTTTTTGGGCAAACTAGCAAAATAGAGTGAAAGTCTTTCGGCCTAATAGTTGTTTTAGCTTTTTAGAAATTGTATTCTGAAATATTTTACCATCACTTCACATAAGCCAGAATATTCAACTATATAACAGACGTATTCTGGATCGTCATCAAGCAGACGAAGCGCAAATAGTATAGCTTCTCGTGCGATTTCGCCTGTTTCTCCAGGAATATTCATATAATCAATCAGATACGTAAACATGTCGAAGCGCGGCTAACTTAGCAAAATCAACACTGAGCTCTCGCACTTTTTCAGTCACCAACTTATTTTTTTTACCGTCAAAAACATGTTCCATGCTATCTTATCTTCAACACTTTCTCGGCGCTTATGCAATGTTTTCCCGTCTTTAGAGCTTCTCCAGACACTTTCGCCTAGCCCTCGACACCAGCCTCTCTCAAAGAATAGATCCATCAAGGCGGCATTAGCTCCTTTAAAATGAGAAAAGACACCATGCATCAATTTGACAAGTTCGAGTGATAGCTCGGATATGGCTGCAATCCTTTCTTCAGAGCATGCTTCAGCATCTGTTGTCAGTTGTTCGTAGTGATGAGCAATCAATCTGTGACATGAGGTTATCAATTTTTGTAATGGCACATGTACAGCTCTTTCTGGTAGCAGCTGAGCTTGTACATTGGTCACTAGACTGCAGAAAAATCGTAGACAGTGGATACGCATGCCATAGGGCGTCTATATACAAAGTTATTTACATATCCCGTCAATACACCGATTTGTATATTTACATCTACTTTGGCAAACTCTACTAATTCCTCCAGAACGCGCTTTTGAAGTAAATATTCCAGACATGGACCTGTCTCTAAGCTACCACTGGGACGCTGATGTTCAACCTCTTCTGCTTGAATAAGTTTGATGATGTTTTGCAAACTGCAAGGAATCGGAGTAAGGTCGACCGCATCTTTAAGAGGATCTATTTCAATCTTATTAGTGCCGCTTTTCTTTTTATTTTCTCTCTCTCTTTCTCTCTCTCTTTTTTCTTCTTTCTTCTCTCCCTCGTTTTCACCAAAAATTAAAAAATATAAAGGGAAAAAACCTCGTATTAAAAACACTATACCATCAGCTGTTTCGTAGTATTTTTGTATGTTTGTCCAAGCTTCTGTTAACAGCTCTAATTTTGTCTTTGCAACGTTTCTTCCTGAAAGAAACTTCGAAAGAAACATGGACATTTTCAAAAAAAAAGAAAAAAAAAAGAGTGTAAGGAGGAAAAAAGAGGGGAAAAAAAGATGTTACTATGAAAGGGATTTAAGGCACAAAATTTTGTGTAACTCATTTCATTGTTTGCGTGAAAGGCTTGTTGCAAAGCAATTAAATCAAGAGTGAAATAACCATGGAAAATGATAGAGCGATTACTATTGATATCCACAGTAAAGCAGATGGGCTTGGTCTTTTCGCATTATTTACAAAGTGGTTGCGGAAGCCGAATTACTTTTTTTTTTCTATTTCTGTAAAATAGATCATGACAACAATGGAGACTTTGCAAGATGTGTTTAATAGAAGCTCACTTAAAGAAGAGGACCATATACAGTATGCAATCTATATGCCAAATAAGGAAAAAGACATGATTCTTTATTTACAAGATACGATCAACATGATTAACTCAATGATTGAACCCACGATTAAAGATTATCTTTGGCAAAAAGATCGCTTTCACCTGTCAATTGTTCAAGACAAATCACAAGATCCACTATATCCCTTTCTTTATGGCATCAGTCGCTTTGGTGATTGTATTAATGACGAGTGGTTCATTGTTCATCTACTCTATCAGATCAGCGTAGCTATACCTGAAGCCATTATCTCAATAAGCGATAATGATGGTGATGTTTTATTGATTGAAGCAGCTCTCGAACTACCTTCTTGGCTTGACCCTTCCAATAGCCAAAACCGAGTTTATTTACATCGAGGCCAACTGCATATTATACCCTTGCCCAATTCGCCCTCAGATCTCTTGCAGTTACCAGCATCACTTACAAGAGAAAAGGCCATTGATATTATTCGTAGCAACCCACAAGCCAGTATAGCCGATCTTGCCATTCAGTCAGCTATACGCGACCGTATCTCTGGGTATCCAGCAGCAGCAGTAGCAGAGATTCACAAGGCCAACTGTCTCTTACCAAACAAGGCAGCATTTGTCCTTTTAAAGGAGCCACAGTTGATCACACTAGCAGTGGAAGCGTTTTATTTGAGAGATCCTCTGTCAATGAAGGCATGTGCTTCCATGTGCACCTTTCCGCCCTCTGAAGGTAACATATTAACTACTGTTCGATTTACAAGAACAACGTATGCTCAGACAGTTAGTCAAAAGTTCTATGCTCCAAAACCGTTCCGTTTGCCGGCTGCTAGAGAGACAAGAAAGTTCAAATATGCTGAACTGGGCATGAAAGTGGCGTGTGGGCTAGAGATGCTCTATAGACAGTCAAGAGACAGCAATGAAGCAAGGAGCATAGACGACGTAGAGTCAGACAAGAAATTCACTTCTTATTTAGATCATCTGAGCAAGTTGGGTTATTTTAGAGGGGAAAAGAAAGGATCACGGCTGTATAATGCATTAGAAGCAAAAGCAAAGGAGCAATACCTAATATACAAAAAGGAAGAACGTTCAAAGGTCATATCGGTCGATCACCCAGACGCAGACGATGAAGATATTGTGAAACCTAGCATAGAAAATGTACGAGCAAGAATTGATCAGGCGTTATCTCAGTATACAGAGGAAGAGTTGAACAAGCTTGTGGAAGCAAATACAGATCAAGAGGATAGCGATGATTGGATGAATATTGACCCACAACAGCTTGAAGAGCTACTATTTAAGCGAATGGCAAAGGATAATGATATGCTAAAAGACTTGGGAAGAAGCATTGAGGATGAAAGCAGTATGGATTTGGAAGCCATCATGTCCAACTTGCAGTATTTTGTTGAAAGTGGTAAAAGTGGTCTTGAGGGCGTAGAAATATCAAAAGACATATATGGTAGCGACGACGACGACAATGATGATGGTGATATTGAAGAGAGCGAACTCAAGTTTGATTATGAGAAGTTCATGCATATTTTGCAAGGAAAAGGTAATTAACGGGCGATTAAAAGGGGATATAGAGACTTATTATATAAATAGATGTAAACGATAATAATGAGAAAGATATGCATAATGTAATGGAAGAGATGGACCAAGAAATTTATGGATATGATAAATTGAAAAACTCATTTGAAAAAATGCCTTTAGAAGAAGACGAAAAAGAAGATGAAGATGCACCAGTTGATATAGAGCTAAATTTAGTTAAAAATATACTAGAGAGTTTCAAGAGTCAGCAAGGTTTACCAGGACCAGCAGGCAATATGTTGAATCAATTTGGCATTGTACTTCCACGAGACGAAGAAGAGGAAGAATAGGGCTAGTTTACGCCATAGATCATTCTTTGTTTTCTTCTTAATTCTCGTTCTTCCTTCTTTTTCTTTTTTTCAATGATTGCAAATAAATCATCATCTTCATCGTCATCGTCTGAAGACGAAGAAGAAGAGAAAGAGTTACCAATGACGGATGAGGTATTACTATTATGGGTATTAGGATAAATCATTGCAGATGTAGGTGTACTAGTATTAGCAGCATTAGCAGTATTAGTAATAGTAGTAGTATTGGCATAGTTAATATTGTCATGTGTTGTTGATGTTGTGGGCGTGGTGGGAGCAGATGATAAATAAGTAAGCGTATGGTTTGGTACATTTCTTTTATTAAAATCCTCCGATCCTATTCTTTTATGCTGAGTAGGAGATGTAGCGGGCGTAAAGGCAAATGTTTTGGATGTACGATGCTCATAGTAAGACGATCTATGATTCATTTGCTGCTGTAAAGGATTAACAATGAGGTCAGGAGTAGAAGAGGATCTGTTGATGTAATTATTTGCTGGTATGTTGTAGTCTGATAGTCTTGATGAGGTTGTAGACCCATTTGAACTTGCTCTACGTGCATCCTGGATATCATTGTCTTCTATCCAAATGTCATCTTCCTCTTCATCATCGCTCATCATCATTTCTCCCATATAATGTATAATGTCTTCATCATCGTCATCATCAATAGGTACATCTGCAGGTGGCCAAGTGCCTACAGATATAGGTATTTCAATAAAGAATGAACTAGAAGGAGTCTTCTTATCGTCCAAGATGAGTTGAGCTCTTATCTTGTAATGGATCCGAACCATCTTTTCTTTATATCGTATGGTTGGTGGAGTATTTCGAATGACTATCTGACTGGCAATTGACTGAGAAAAGTTATAAGGTCCAATGATGTTTATATCAAACTTGTTTGATTTTAATACATGCTCCTCATCTATTCTATATCTTTAAAGATGTTAGTTCTTTCTTCTTTCTTTTCTATATTCACACTTACTTTGATGTCTGTATTTTCACTTTACGAATCAGTTCGACGATAAGCCCATCCTTTCGAACATAACTCGAACCAGTTCCAACGATAATACTGACAGGTACTGTCTCTCCTCTGGTATATCCTGACCTTGGTACTGATAATCTTACTTGACATTTACCATAGTTTGTTGTAGTCACTTCCTTTTGTTTTTCAATGGGTCTATTGAAATTATCTTTGGTAACATCAACATATTCTAGTATATTGATGGGATATTCAATTCTCGGACATAAACCCTCAGGCAACATAGGTCGATCCAGTATTGCTATCAATTTGTATTCTATACGTGCTAGTTTTTTCTTTCCAAACTGAATATATTGATTAGTTAAGAATATGCATAATGCTTCGTATACTTTACATCCATGACACTCGGTAGATTATCAGGCACAAGAAAGTCAAATGAAAATTGATATGGTTTTTGTTCCAATTTTCCTTTTCCTTCATTGACTGGAATTGTTTTACATGACTGAAATAAAGGAATAGATTCTTTATCTGATATGCTAATGACACCTGTAAACTTGAGAATGATTGGATTCACTCTTATGGAACTCTTTGGCTGTACAATGACAGTGCCTATAAACTACTTTAACAAAACATATTTGTATACTTTATATCCAAATAACCTTGAATAGTTTCTCCTGGAAAATAAAACTTTTCTTCTTTAAGTGCAATGTCGATTACTTTATTAGTCTTTAATTTGGCCTTCATTTATTTCAAGAAAAGAAAAAATAAGGAAAAAAGGAAAACAGAAAAAGAGCTTTTATTTAAATTTCATTTTTATTGTTCTCCAACTAGAAAAATAATGAATAAAAAAAAAAAAGTACTATTCGCTTTATACCTATCGAGGTATTAAGGAATGTACTGCCATTATGGAAAAGGTATTCAATCTAGGAGCACCATGTTGA